CATCTTACATGTTCTATGTCTGCTACAATGTTGCTTGGTTTTGACAGTGGTTGGTTTGCTAAATGTACGCATATGTAACAAGCTGCATGATGACTGTCTACCATTTTAAACTTTTTATTTGCTTACAGATACGCTTTGTAAAAATGTAAACATTTGAAAAGATTGTTGATTTTGCATGTCAAGTCGGAATTTGCAAAATGTTTACACTTGTATAAACTTAACATCAATTAATGTATGTGTTATTTGCAGTTGCTAAATTATTTATATTCTAAAAATATTAAAGAATTACTCTTAAGTTTAATTAAAGTTAATCTCAATAGTGTTTGACATTGTACGCCCTGTCTTGCATACTTTTAAGTAATTTTTCTTTTGTATTCTAATACATTCCTTTAATACTGTTGTCACCCTTTTAAATAAAATTATATGTAAATATTTCATTGCTAAAACACTTATTTACATATGCTTTTGTAGTTTTTTTTTTAAATTAAATATATTTGTTTGTTGCAGAATTGCAACTGTAATTTTTTGATAGAAATATAAATATGTAAGATTTATTTATTTGTTCTATTGTATATACACAAAAAATTCCACGTCCGAATAAATAATTTTCTTTGTAAATATATTTAAAAAGAAGTATGTTAAATAATTTTTAAACAAAAAAAACTCACGCAATGTGCTGCTTTAACAAAAGCAAGTTTAGAAAAAATATTTCTCGCATAAATGAGTAAAATAGCTAGTATTCAATTATTTACACTATCAAAGCACCTCACGCAAATCCTATATAAAGAAGGCTGGCATCCTCCTCATTCAACTTTTTTACTCATCAAACAAATACATTTACTCATACAAACTATCAATCTTAACATGCAGCTGACCACTATTGAGACTCAACCTACTCCTAATCCAGATATTGATTATGTTTCACTGTCTAAAGATGAACTCATTGCATTGGCCCCAACTGATTCCTATGCAATGCATCTTGTTGAAGAAACGATTTTGAAAGAATAATTATTTAGTCTGTCATTCTCTAATAGTAGTGACATTTATGCTTTGCACGATGACACGCAATTACATCATAAAGGCTTAATAAAGTAAGTTACTATTAGAAAACATGAATAGTTTCCTGGCATATCAATTTTTCTTCAAGTATACATCGACGTTATTGACAAACCAAGACAATATTTTATGATTTATAACTCATAACATTGCTCTTATTAGTAGTATGCGGCTCATAGTTATAATTTAAAATAGTTTTGTTTTCTGCAACCTTGTCAATAAATTACTATTACATTTGTTACTCGAAAAATATCTCACAATTAAAACGCAAACCGGACTCTTTTTTAATACCAAGAAAATGGCTTGCAGTGTTTACACAGGTAGGTAAAGCATATAAGTATTAAAGCTTGTGTGCATTGAATAATTACAATATAAAAGGTAGCGTGTAGCGACTGTTGAAATTGGTAATTAGAAAGTAAAAGATGAAACACCCTTTTTGGTAGTCTTGTTACGAGGGCTCTTGTAGGTCCTTAACTTTCTCCAGAACCTACGAGTACAGTCGACACGACCAAACAGGTTTACTTATGTGGGTGGTTTAAAACTCAGAAACAACACACTGCATTTGCTATACACAAACAGTATATGTGTAAGCATTGCTCTTATTCTCACTCGTCTGGTTCTCTGGTCAGAGGTCAAGAACCAACGTTTGGCTTGTAATCTAGATTTTACCACATATCCCAAGCAACTTAGGTATTATATAAAACATGTTTCGTAAACTTCTATAGCAGAAAACAACCGGTGCATCTCACACACAGTTTCACCCTCATGCAACAGTACCTTGTATCAAAAAGATAATGATCTGTGTGGTTACAAAACAAAAAAAGTTAAGCAACTTCAGGTGGAAAGCGCAGGAGTCGAACCCGCTTCTCTTCGTACTTAAGACGAGCGTACTGCCGATATACCAGCTTCCCGAGAAGTAGGCTTTGAGGGGGGCCAGCCTGAGCTAGCACCGATTTTACTTTGCTGGCTGCCTTTCCGCGCACTTATGATATGCACCCATACTCCTTTCAATCAGAGCTTATTTGTTCACTACCTACCGCTGATATATTATTGGCTGATTGAATTGCAAAGCCAACTTTTACTTCAAACTCATTTTGCAGACTACCTATTTTTAAGCTATGGAAAACAGTATTATTGAGCAGCAGCGCCAAGCCTTTGAGGATATCGAGCGGGCAGAGGTAGCCATAGTTGATATGATGCAGCAGAATCTGTCAAAGCACCGTTACAGGCTGATTCGGGAACACAAAATAAGCGAACTGCTCGACCAGGTTCAGAGTCGCAGCCGGCTCATACTTGAACTTGAAAAGGACCAATCAGGGAAGCGACGTCGCGAGATGGAAAGCATAGCCGAGCATCAGCTTGAGGAGTTTCATGCGCGACTGGGTGAGATTCAAGACTACCATCGACGCAACCCCGATGTCATCGTGCACCCACCAGAGCTCGAGTATGCAAAGTACAAGGCTAATCCGGAGCAAGTAGAACAGGATCAAAACGCTAGAGCCGCTAAAAGACTGAAATTTGCGGATAACGAGGAACCATCCTTTGAAGACATACTTGACGACAGCCACCACTCTGAGAATGTACAGACGTATGTCGGCGAGGATGACAACGAGAAGCTAGACACAATGTTCTCGGGTGATGAGCGGCTAGGGCGATATGTTGATTTGAACGAGCAGCACGAGCTTTACCTTAACATTAAGGATGCGGATCGACTGTCCTACTTGGAATACCTAACGCAGTTTGATAGCTTTGAAAAGTATCCTAGAGCCCTAAAGCGTCTTCCAGGATACAAGAGCTATGTGCTTAGTCTGGACGAGTACTTTAAAGGGTTCTTTGCCAGAGCAAAACCATTATTTGATCTATCTGGTGCTTTGGCCGAAGCCAGACAGGAGTTTGACGATCAATGGGCTCGTCAAGCTGTGCCTGGTTGGGAGGCAAGCGACGACAGTAACAGTTTTGTTTGCACCACCTGCAATCGGCAGTTCGAAAAGGATACAACCTACAACGCCCACATGAAGAGTCTCAAACACCAAAAGGCAGTCAAACGGGCAAGTGAGCAAGCCGGTGTAAGCAACGCTAGCGAGCAGAACCATAGCCTGGCGGACGGCAATTGTGATATAGCGTGGACTGAAACTGCTATTCGCACCTACGCCCGAATTCTTGCGGAAAACATTCGCGATACAAGAGCCAACATTGAGCGCAGACAGGCGTTGACGGAGGAGGAACGGCAACAAGAGCTTGAGGAGGAGGAGCCAGAATTTGTTAACGATGACGACGACGAAGACGAGCAGATCTACAATCCGCTCAATCTGCCTCTTGGATGGGACGGCAAGCCAATTCCATTCTGGCTGTATAAGCTACATGGACTTGGCGTCAAGTTTTCGTGCGAAATATGCGGAAATGCTATATACCGTGGCCGTAAGGCATACGAGAAACATTTTGTAGAGACACGGCACGCTACAAACATGCGACGGCTGGGAATTCCCAACACTCGACAGTTCCATGGAATTGCATCGATAAACGAAGCTCAGGGCCTCTGGGAGCGCATACAGCAAGAAAACAAGAAAGAAATCGCCAATGCTGATACTTTTGAGGAGTACGAGGACAGCGAAGGCAATGTGTTTAACAAAAAGACTTATATGGATCTTAAGCGACAAGGTCTTATCTAGTTTTAGAATAATACACTTTATTAAAATCGTTCCACAGCACTGTACTACTAACCCCTAGTTGTTCTACTAGTTAAAGTTGTTGTCAAAATTGTTTCTTCATATTCATTTTGTAAGCCACCATATTCTCCAGTTTTTTTGGTGCCAATCAGTTTGGTGCTGCGGATAACACCCCGTTAATTTGAAAGCAAAACAAACGGCTTGTGATAGTCCGCATATTTCTTCTGTTCAACAATTTAATTTCTAATTTCACAATCTACTTTTTTGCAACAAAAAAAAACATGTCTGCTTTGGAACAGAACCAAATATACCTTGTTATCGGCGGTGAAGGTTTTCTTGGACGGGCTATAGTCGAAGCGCTGGTCAGCCGTCGCGAGAAAAGCGGCAGCAACGACATTGTGCGTGTGCTTGATCTGCGACGCAACTTTGAGGACAGCAGAGTTGAGTTCTATCAAGGCGACATCACCAAGACCTCGGACGTTGAAAAGGCGCTCACTGCAAACGGACGCACGGCCAACACTGTGTTCCACACGGCGTCGCCCGTGATGAAGGCACCCGAAGCCCTACATGCCAAGGTGAACATTGAGGGCACTAGTGTGCTGCTCGAAGCTTGTCGCGTTGCTGGCGTCGAGAGGTTCATCTATACAAGCAGTGCTAGTGTTATCTACTCTGGCTCGGCACTCGAGTATGTCGACGAGTCAATTGAGTATCCGGCAAAGTTTGCCGACTATTATTCGGAGACAAAGGCGATTGCTGAAAAGATGGTGCTTGATCACGATGACAAGCTGGGGATGCGCACGGCGGCATTGAGGCCGTCGGGGATCTTTGGTCCTGGTGACCGCCAGGTCACTACTGGTGCGCTGGGTGCACAGAAAAGAAACTTCCCCGTCTTGGTGCAGGTCGGCGACAACAAAGCGCTGTTCGATTTTACCTATGTGGTCAATCTGGCTGAGGCGCATTTGCTGTGTGCCGACAAGATCTACGACCAGGGTGTTGCCGGCGAGGTGTTCTTTATTACCAACGACCAGCCAATTGGCATGTGGTCGTTTATGCGGCTTCTGTGGGCTGAGGTCGGCGATACGAGAGCACCAAAGCTTATCATTCCAAACTTTGTTGCCACAATGATTCTGCTGCTGCTAAAGTTTTTGGCACTTTTGCATATTGTCAAGCACGACGTTCCGTTTGTGTTTGGCATGACCTTTACCCCACGCTACTTTAACATCACCAAGGCTAAAAAGTATCTCGGATATAAGCCGTCGATTCCATACAGCGAGGGTGTGCCGGTTGCTGTCAAGTCGTGCCTGGAGCGCTGGGCCAAGGAAGAGGAGGAGCAAAAGAAGACAAAGTCGGAATAGGTTTTATCCAGGTTAAATTCGAGGACTGTTGAAAAAATTATATTTTAAAT